AATAAGCCTAGTAGCTTATGTTCATCGATTGTCTATGATCTGTGCATTTTTTCCATGCACTCTTTTGATGTATAGAAATAGTCTGAAATTCACTGTTTCCTATGTTAAGTGACCGAGATGCTGCCATAAGACCCAGGACACTGATGAATGGTGCTATCTGGACTTTCAACATGCTCCTTGGCAAGGTACCTCTGACGGGGTTATATTTTATTTCCATGTTCTAAGAAGGTGTTAGTACCATTTCTCAATGTCGTTCTTTAGACAAACTGGATCAACTCATTTTCCTTGTGTCTTCAGTGTGGCTTTCTTCCTCAGTGTTGCAGGTTGAACAAATGCTACCCACAGTATCAGACTGTCTCACTGACTGACACTCATGGACATGTGATCACATTAGAAGGAGCAAGCAAAAACTGTAACTTATTTACCAAATTTCCTTCTATTTGTAGCCTCACCTGCATTAGAGAAAGAAAAGCAATAATTTTACAGGCATTTTGAGTTGTTTCTTTGGATTCTTTTTGTTTGACCTGGTAAGGGGGGGCGGGGTAAGGTTTACTTTTTTCAAACAAATGCCATGTGAAAAAAAAAAATCTAAAACACTGGCATCTTAGTAGGAATATGAAAATTACACTTTTCCCAAAAATTAAGTTGGAAAAATCTATTTACAAAATAATAATGATAAAAGGCAGAGTACTCTTTTTTGGCAGTTTTGATAAGCAAGGTCCTTGCTCCTAATGAAATGGATAAATAAAATTAGATAATACTATCTTTAAAAAGCATGCCAGCTTTGCCTAGTTTTGAACATTATATAATTTTGAACATTTAATGTTTAAAATGGAAAAGAGATTTATATAGATTATGTATGTATAATATAATACACGTAGTATTTTGTGTGTCTGGTTTCACAAAAGAAGCCACATACACACACACACACACACACACACACATACACATTTACTCTCTTACTCAATATTATGCTTGTGAGATATATCCATATTGTTGGATAGTCTAGTCATGCATTCATGTTTACTACAGTATAATGTTTCATTATAAGATATAAGACTACTCCACAGTTTGTTTATCCATTTTGTTGATGGACATTCCAGTTGTTTCTGGAGAGAAAATACTGTGTCATGAGCTACATATGTTTAAATTTAATAAGTAATGTCAAATACTTTTCCAAAGTAGTTGTATCAATTTATTCCCATCAAATATAAAAGAACGCTACTTGTCCCATATCCTTGCCAGAACCTGGCACTACCAGTTTAATTTTAGCCATTCTGGTGAATGTACAGTGTATTCCATTGTAGTTTTGATTTCCCTGAACACTAATGAAGCTGAATAACTTTTCATGAATATCAAACATTTGGAACATTCTTTTGTGAAGTGCCTGTCTTTTCCATTTTGTCGTTTGTTTTTTTTTTAATAGATTTGGAGTTCTGTCGGTTATACAGCAAACATTCTACTGAGTCTGCCTTTCATTCATCTCACAGTATCTTTTGAAGTTCTAAATTTTGTAATACTACCATCAGTTTTCTTGTTTGTTTTTTTTGTGTGTTTGTTTTGCTGTACTGGGCTAATCCCCAGAACCACACAAAATAATAAAAAATAATTTTAAAAGAGATTTGACAAATGACTTCAAAAATAACCACAACAATAATATCTTGCAGCAGAAATTCAAATCTCTCATCAGCAGAAGACAACTGCAATACTATTGTGCCAGAAAAAAGCCCGAAGGAAAGGGAGCATCTGTCAAGCCAAATAAGTAAGTAAACAAATGAGGGAAGGGGTTTACTTATAAAAAATTATTCCTAGGCAGGCACAGTGGTGCAAGCCTGTAATGCCAGCTACTTGAGAGAATAAGGGAGGAGGATCACAAGCCTGGGCAACTTAATGAAACCTTGTTTCAAAATAAAAAATAAAAAGGGCTGGAGTTGTAGCTCAGTAGTAGAGTGCCCTGGGTTTGATTCCCCAGTACCACTCTCCCCAACTCCACCAAAAACAAAAACAAAAAACCCTTGTCACAGTTTTTCCCAAAAACCAGTCACCTCATAAACAGAATCAAAATTAAGAGGTTTATGCCAGGCAAGGTGGCACATGCCTGTAATCACAGCAGCTCAGGAGGCTGACACAAGAGGATTACAGGTTCAAGGCCAGCCTCAGCAACTTAGTGAGACCCTGGGGATGATGTGGCTCAGTTATTAAGTGCCCCTAGCTTCAATCCCTGGTACCAAAAAACAACAAAACAACAAAAAAGACCCAACTAAACTAAGAGGTTTAAACCAATTGTACAGAAAAGGTTTGGAAGAATGAGGAACCTATCTTTCCTCCAAATTAGCCAACTGAGACATGAAGAGTCACAATGATAATCATGACAGCCTTACAAGAAAGGGTACAAAGAAACACTGGAGTGCAACCCTAGAGCACAGCCATGACCTACTGCTAACACAGGCTGCTTCTATCATCCCTGTGGCTGACATTCCAGGAGTACTCCATGAGTCAGCTGGTAGCTTCCCAACCTATTAAAATCTGCTAATCCCATACATGGATCACATCCATGTGGCTCATAACCAAAGATAGCAGCAGCAGAGAATTCACCTCTATTGCACTAATTCATTTCTTTAATGGCCAACTCTGATGAAGAAAACATCCTTCCTAAAGATTAATTTTTATTTTTATTTATGTATTTATTTATTTGAGGATGTCTCACTATGTTGCCCAGGCTGGTTTCAAACTCCCAGGTTCAAAGAGTCCTCCTGGCTCATCCTCCCAAGTGCTGGGATTATAGGCACATGCCACTATTCCTGGATCCTAAGGTGCTTCAAAATAAACTATTAGAGGCTTTAAAAACCTTAGCAGGGCATGGTGGGCTCATGCCCGTAACCCCAGCAGCTTGGGAGGCTGAGGCAGAAGGATCGGGAGTTTAAAGACAGCCTTAGCAACTTAGCAAGGCTCTAAGCAACTCAGCAAGACCCTATCTCTAGGGATTGGGTTGTGGCTCAGCTGTAGAGTGCTCGCCTAGCACATGTGAGGCCCCGGGTTCAATCTTCAGCACCACATAAAAATAAATAAATAAAGATATTGACAACTACAACTAAAATAAATAAATAAATAAATAAATAAATATATACCCTGTCTCTAAATAAAATATAAAAAAGTGCTGGGAGGCTGCAATCATGGCTCAGTGGTACAGCGCTCGCCTCACACATGCGAGACCCTGGGTTTAATCCTCAGCACCACATAAAAATAAATAAATAAAGGTATTGTGTCCAACTACAACTAAAAAAAAATAAAATAAAATAAGGCTCTGGGGATGTGACTCAGTGGTTAAGCGCCCCTGGGTTCAATCCCTGTACCAAGAAAGAAAGAAAGAAAAAAACTTACAGATTAGATATGCATAATTTTCAATTTTTTAAAATCATGAAACTAGCATAGCAAATTGTTTACGTCCTCTATTGGTATTTATCAACAGGGCACTGTAGAGAATCTTAATTTGAGTTTAAGTCATGGCTCATTCACTAACTCACCAGTTATTCACTCATTCACCAGTTTGGGAGGACAGTGTATCTCTGAGGCTCAGGTGTATCTGTGTCCACAGAAAGGGTTAAACTAGATAATTTCAGTACCAACTTCTATTCTGTTCATTGTACCTTACAAATAATATTGAAATAATTCACTTAGCTTTTAAATTAGCTCCTTCAATGCAGTGCTAACTCAACTTAATTCTAGACCAGAAACATACTTTCTCCAACAGCTTACATCTAGTAGATTTATGCATGCAAAATGAGTCTGCTGGGCAGGCTTGTGGGATATCCTCCCTTCTAACAGGTACCTTTAAAATCCTTCCAATCAGAGCAGTGAAGCAGTATAAAATGATATCTAAAGATATTTCATACTTCTTAAATTTAATTGTTCATATTAGAATTTCTCTCACTTCACAGTCTTTCATTATATTCATGGGTACTAGTATATCTGCCTATCTGCACTTTAGGTAAGTCTTTTTTGGAGGGGATTGGGGAGGCAACAGTGTCTTGCTATGGTATCCTGACTGGCCTTGAACTTGCACTCTTACTGATTCAGTCTCCTGAGTAGCTAGGTACTTCTTCATACTTCTTTCTTTCTCCCTTGTTTGTTTATTTGTGGTACTGGGGACTGAACATAAGGGCACTCTACTACTGAGTTACATCCCCAGGTCTTTTAATTTTTTTAAAAAGTTTGAGACAGGGTTACATTAATTTGTCTAGGATGGCCTTGAACTTGTCATCCTGCTACATCAGCCTCCAAAATCTCTGGGTTATAGGCATGTACCACCACACCAGGCTAGCAAGGTACTTAATTGCTGGGTTTTATATACTATTTCCCCTCCTTTGGGTCTTTTTGAAGTTATATATGACCTAACCTGGTATTTTTCATTCAACTGTACCATGTATACTGACCACTAGAGCAGTGGTTTTCAAATTTGTTTAAAGCAGAACAACTATTTTTTCCCCAAAGGAAATCGTCCACAGAACACTAATATGTAAAACAGTTTTAAAAAAAAAGAGAACTGGGATGTACATCAGTGGAGCATTTGCCTAGCACATGCAAGGCCCTAGTTCAATTCCCAATGCCAAAAATAGAGAGAGAGAAATAGATGAGGGAGGGAATTGCTCTGATTTAAAGGGGTGAGGAAGGGAAGGAACTAAGTGCTGTCAGCTCACTTTCTTTTTCCTCTCCTGTCCCCTGAGCTGTAGATACACTACAGAAATTTCAGCAGATTCCCAGAGTCTCTAGACCTCTGCATCTCAAAAGGGTCAATTCCTCCAGTAACTTAGTTTAGTTTTTGGAATAGGACCTACATCCTCAATTCAGATGTTTCCTTCATGGTAACAAATTTCAACTCAAGCTTTAGAAATTTTCTTGGCATAATCAAAATTATAGCAAAAAAAAAAAAAGCAAGAGATTTTTAAAAATAAATTTAAAAATAAATAAAAGCAATTAGGTGAATCTGTGAATTCCTGTACCTTGTTGTCCATAATTGTCCACTGACCCTCAGGATTCTGCTTCAAAACACAGTGGTTGCGAGAAATCATCAGAGGGCAAATTTTTGATACCAGTTGGTATGTGACACCAAATCCTCGGCCTATAGTCACCTGGGAAAACAACAACGATGCAAGAGAGATAATCAGTCATTGTGCTGAAAAGGGAGGTCCTTTGTATCTTATCAACCAAGTGTACACAAGCCCCAGTTTGAGAAACCAGATTCCTGTGGAATCCAAAGGGTTCATTTGCTATCTCCTCTTCAGCTGCCAAGGGAGCCACCAGGTAGAAAGTGACAAGAAAAAGCTGAAGGAAATTAAGACCCTGAAAGGTTATCTGGTTCAGGAAGCCATAACATGGAAGAATTCTTTCCACACAAGCCCATCAACTCTTCTTGAACACTGCCTTTATATAAGTCAGGCCTTGGAATTTTTTAATGGCTATAACTTGGCATCTCTCTCTCGACCAATTCCATTTATTGGCCCTGGTTCTGCACTGGGGACCATCAGAAAATCTCTAATCCCCCTTCCACATCATCTATAAAATGTCTACTGAGACTTGTCTCTCCCTGGCTGTGTTCCCAATTACTTCAACCTAATTCCCAGGGGATGGGTTTGAGTCTGTCATTCTAATGGGTCTGTGAAAGGACTCCTGGTTTGTCTTTATTCCTGGATACTGTATTAAGAAAACTAAACTTAATTTTACCACACAGTCAAATTCAAGTTATCACTTTCCCAGTTCTAGATATTATTAGCATAGAATGTAAATTGCATTTGCTTCCACAGCAGATACAGTACTCTGCCAATGTAATCTCAGACTTAGAAATGATTATATTTCTTGGTCTCCCCTCCCCCAAGAATTGTTAAGTCATGTCTCTTCCATTCTATACTTGACTAGTTGGGAAAATCTGGATTCAAGTGTAGGACCTTACATTGATTTCTATTAAATTTCTTCTTGTTAGTCTAGCCTATCACACCAGTTTGTCAAGACTTTTCTGAATTTTTAATTGGCCATCTGATCAGACATATTCAATATACTTTCTAGATTCAGTCTCTCACCAAATTAACATGGCAGTTCATTCTGTACCTTCACTCAAGACACAGATAAAAAATATTGAAATTGGGGGACTGGGGTTGTGGATTAGCAGGAGAGCACTCACCTAGCACGTGGGGCCCTGGGTTCAATCCTCAGCACCACATAAAAATAAATAAATAAAATAAAGGTATTGTGTCCAACTACACTAAAAAATAAATATTTAAAAAAAATATTGAAATGGGAAGTAGCCAAAAACAAAGCTCTCAGGGAAAGCCTAGCAAACATTCTCCCACATAACCTAGGTATACTTTCAATCAATTAAAATTCAACCAAAAGTCTTTGCACTGAGTCAATATCCTCCATCTTAGCCATAAGGAAAGTGTTGAGTGCCTCTGACAAAGATTGAAAAGAAGCCCAAATTCACATCTATCATATTTTCTGATGGACTTGTCAAGTTCATAATAACCCTGTGAAGGAAGGAAATGAAATTCTTCTTAGATCTAGATCTTTCCTGCTTATTATTTTCAGTGCACAAGTGCTCTCTTTAATGACCCCTTCCACAACCTTAACTGGAAATATTGAAGTTTTAAAGTTTGTGGTTTTCTAGCCAAGCACAGTGTGCATGCCTATAATCCCAGTGACTAGGAAGGCTGAGGCAGGAGGCTTACAAGACTCTACAATTTAGCAAGATCCTTTCCCAAAATAAAAAATAATGTTTTGAAAAGGGTGGGGGATGTAGTTCAGTGGAAGAACACCCTGGGCTCAATCCCCAGAAACACACACACACATACATAGAAAGTCTGTGGGGTTCTAAGACCTACCCTCTTTGCTCTTTCTGAAAATCTTTCAGAATCATCCTTGTCTTCAGTTCCTTAAAGATTAATGAAGCCAGGTATGGCATTGCACCCTGGTAATCCCAGCCACTCAGGAGGCTAAGGCAGCAGGATTTCAAGTTCAAGGCCAGCCTCAGCAACTTAGCGAGACCCTGTCTTGAAATTTTAAGAAGGGCTCAAAGATGTAGTTCAGTGGTACAGCACCCCTGGGAGGAGGGGGAGAAGGAAAAATAAAAGTCTACCTTGACTGTCTCTGACATAATCTAGTCACTCCTCCCAAATTCTCATTTCAGTAATTGACAATGTCATCCAACCAAATGCTCAGCCTAAAATCTAGAAGTCATTTTTGATTCATCTATTCCTCATCTCCACATTTTAAACATTAGCAATCTGCTGGGCACACCTGTTAATTCCAGCATCTTGGGAGGCTGAGGCAGGAGGATCCCAAGTTCATAGCCAGCCTCAGCAACTTGGCGAGGCCCTAAGCAACTCAGTAAAACCCTGTCTCTAAATAAAATACAAAAAAAGGGCTGAGGATGTGGCTCAGTGGTTGAGTGCCCCTGGGTTCAATCCCTAGTACCAAAAGTAAATAAACAATAAAACATCAGTAATTGTACTGGCCATAATTTATAATCTATTCACTTCTACCTCTCCAGACACTATCTGAGTCCAAATGTCCTGGCCACCTGCTGTTTCTGCTCCTACTCTAGCTCCCCTAAATTGTATTTTTCATGTAGCATCAGTGGTGATGTAAAAATTTTAAATCAGATCATTTCTCTTTCTTTAAAATCCTTCTACCATCCAAACTTCTTCCCACGGACTATAAGGCCCTGAATGTCCTGACCTCCTCTTTAGTCTCAGACTCATACTGGGCTGTCAACACTAGCTTGCTTCTTCAGCCACTTGAGCCTTCTTTTTGTTCCTTAACCTCCTCCAAGTTCCAGCTTATTGGAGGGCTTTATTTTTTACTTGTCCCCTCTGCTTAAAACACTCTTTTCTTAAGACACTCTTTTCTCAGACTTTTGCATAGGCTACTTTTCTCATCTTTTCCAAGTTTCAACTCCTCAGAGGCCTACACTGATTACCCTTATCTAATGTTGCTGTCTATATTCCTCCGCCCGTTATTAGCATGCATTTATCACAATTAAATTATCTTGCTTGTTTGACCTCCCCCTCTGCATTTCCTAGAACATAAATTTCATGAGCAGGGACTTTATCTTTTTTTTAACACAGTATTCCTTTACTGGACATGGTGTTCAGCAAATATTTCTAAATGAATAGAAGGACAAAGAGATCTTGCCTATGGGTCCTTCCAGATTCTAGAATGGACATTTTTTAGGTCAGAAGTTGGAAGCTAAATTATTAAGCTGGAAAATAGGGAGCACTAGCTAGGAACTCTTAAAATCAGACTTGTTTCCCTTTAAAACATTGTGATGGCCATCTTTACCAAAACTCTTTTGTCCAAAGCTTGACAGTTTAACATTTAATTATAGAAGTTCCTCTGAAGGCTGGGGCATAGCTCAGTGGTAGAGCCCTTGCTAAGCATGCAAGAGGCACTAGGTTTGGTCCCATCATAGTTGGGGGAGGAAAGTGTATAAAGATTACCTGTCATTTACATTCACTATGAATTTCCATCCTGGTAGCTTTTTTTCATTTTTCTTTTTTGTTTTTGGAACTGGGGTGCTTTACCACAGTACTATATCACCAGGCCTTTTTATTTTTGATTTTGAGACAGGGTCTCCCTAAATTGCTCAGGAATGCACTCAATTGCTGAGGCTGGCCTGGAACTTGTGATCCTCCTGCCTCAGTCACCAGAGTTGCTGAGATTATAGGCCTGCACCCACCACACCCAGCTTTGATAGTTTTTTTTTTCTTCCCCCAAAGAGAGGAAATAAAAATTTCCACCTGCCATTTTAATACTTGGGGGGAAACAGCCTGATTGCCACCAGGGAAAATAGTACAGAAAAAACAAAGGAGTGCCTTTTTCTGAATTGCCTCCTACGGACTGCAAATCCAGAAAAAGATTTTTTTCACATCCTTTCACTCTTTCATCCAATAATTTACCTTAGCATTCTGATATTTCACCTATACTACAGTTAAAAGAGTACAGCGTGCTCATTTGGAAATCCATTTACAACAGTTTTGCAAGCCTTTGAGCATGTTGACATTATTGATCTAGAAGTTCATCTTGACCATGTCCACCTTCACTAATGCTATCCTTTCCACCTGGGCACAACTCCTGCTGTTTCCCACATGGCCAGAAAATACTCTAGAACCATCCTTTCCCTTTTTCAACCCACTTAGGGCAGAAAGCTTTAAGAAAACCAGATATGAGAGAAGAAAACAAGAAAAAAAAGATATTATGGCTTTAGGGTTGATAGTTATAGGACCGGCAATTTGCTTTTTACACCGAACTCTGAACAGGTATTAAAAAGTTTAAAATACCATGACCAACAGATAATTTTACTATAGTATTCCCTTCAACAAAATGAGGGAAGCCATGTTTTATTATTTCATCTGCAAAATCTGAAACTTTGAAAGGAACTGGAAAGGTGGGGAACTGACTGCTGTTATAATTAAATGATATCACCACTCCTCTTTAAAAATCTGTGCAAACCAACTAGTGGTTTAAGAACCATTACTGTGAGACTTCATCTTGGCTTTAATTCAGACTCTCTTCACACACACTATAGGCTAAGCTCCAGCTACTGTCTAAGACCTGACCTTGCAGACAACCAGGCCTGGCAAGCTTCTACACACAGGCTACCAGGCAAGCCATAATGTCCCCAGTATGTTTTTTCCATTCACTTGGTTTGTACTGGTCTCTCCCCACAGAGGTGGGCCCACACAAATCTATCAAATAGGTTAGAACATATCTAGAAGTGCTTTATGGACTTGGGTTTTTGTTTTTTGGCAGTGGGGATTAAACACAGGGAAGTTTTACCATTGAACTACATTCCCAGCCATTTTTATTTTTAGACAGGGTCTCACTAAATTGCTTAGGGCCTGGTTAAGTTGCTGAGGCAGGCCTTGAACCTGCCATCTTCCTGCCTCAGCCTCCCAAATTGCTGGGATTACAAACATAATCCCATGCCCAGCTTTATAGACTCCTTGTCTTACATCATTATTTTCCCTTATCCTCCCTTCTCCCGCAAAATCCAGGACTACCTCCCAAGCTATTCAGGAGAAATTAATGAAGTAATTCATTGAACTGATCTAAAAGAATAAGTTAACACTTGAAGATGGTGCAGTAGCAAAGGTTAGCGGTTAATATTAAGTCTCTGAGTCGATTTCAGTTCAGAACCCTGCAGCAGCAGCGATCTCTGAGTGAAGAGCACCTAGGGTAACTGCCCAAGATGCCAAAAATCTTCAGTGGCAGCTCCCATCAGGACTTACACCAGAAAACTGCTGACCACCTGGGCCTAGAGCTAGGCAAGGTGCAACCAAGAAATTCAGCAACCAGGAGACCCGGGTGGAAACTGGTGAAAGTGTACATGGAGATAATGTCTACATCATTCAGAGTGGCTGTGGTAAAATCAACAATCTAATGGAGGTATGATCATGATTAATGCCTGCAAGATCCCTTTAGCCAGCTGGGTTGCTACAATCATCCCACGTTTCCCCGATGCCCAGCAGGATAAAGATAAGAGCCGGGTTCCAATCTTAGCCAAGCTTGTTAAAAATAAGCTGTCTGTAGCTGGTGCAGATCATATTATCACCATGGATCTTGCTTCTCAAATTCAGGGCTTTTTTTCACATCCTTTCACTCTTTCATCCAAGAATTTACCTTAGCATTCTGATATTTCACCTATACTACAGTTAAAAGAGTACAGCCGAGCTCATTTGGAAATCCATTTACAACAGTTTTGCAAGCCTTTGACAATTTATATGCAGAGCCAGCTGTCCTGAAGTGGAGTAGTAGGGGGAATATCTCAGAGTGGAGGAACTGCACTATTGTGTCACCTGATGCTAGTGGAACCAAGAGTGACCTCCATTGCAGACCAATCGAATGTGGACTTTGCCTTGTTTCACAAGGAATGGAAGAAGGCCAATGAAGCGGACCACATGGTGTTAGTGGGAAATGTGGCTATCCTTGTGGATGACGTGGATGACACATGTGGCACCATCTGCCATGCAGCTGACAAACTTCTCTCAGCTGGAGCCACCAGAGTTCATGCTATCTTGACTCATTAAATCTTTTCTGGGCCAGGCATTTCTTGCATCAGTAATGTATGTTTTGAAGTAGTAGTGGTCATCGATAACCATACCTCAGGAGGGCAAGATGAAGCACTGCTCCAAAATACAGGTGAATGACATCTCTATGATCCTTGCAGAAACCATCAGGAGAACTCATAATGGGGAATCTGTTTCCTACCTGTTCAGCCATGTTCCTTTATAACTTGAGGCTTTTTAAAAAATAAAATCAACCCCACTCCTTCTTTCCCTTGGTATTTGATGACAAATTCAGAAGACCCAGCTTGCTCCTTATAGCTTTCTACATCCCATATCATGTAATTGAGAGTTTATTGGAAATTGGGGAAAGACAGATTGATATTAACTGTTGGGATTTCTTAACTGCATTGTCTCATTCTGGCTTCCTTAATGATTTTGTGAACCTTACAGCTCTAACTGGAGTTCAGTTGCTGCAAGATTTCAGACTTCTAAGGATGTTGAATAAAGCTGTTTGAATGGTTGGGGACTTTCAGACTCTGCATGTGAATGCTTTGGAGATTTTTCCTTGTTAGAACAACTAGTAACAAAGCAGCCCATGTGTGACAAGTTCTCTAAGATCTAAGCTAAATTAACAACAAGAGCCCTGGGCTTTCTATAGACCTATTTCCATAGCTGAGCAAGCACCCTTTAAGGCAGAAGCAGGCAGCTCAGCTGAAAAAAAAAAAAAAAAAAAAAACCCGCAAACAACGGTTGGGTGGGATCACCATGGGGTAGCACAGTGCAGCCAATATTTCTAGGGAGGAAGAAGCCTGATTCATTGCCATCTGCTTGACCACATAGCATGTAGTCCCTTTGTGCCAATTCCTTTCTATGGCTTTATCTTCAGTCATCTTGACCTTTTTCTGGCCAAATATACTCCTGGGCCCAAATTATCATTGTACCATAGTCTTCTGAACACAAATTTGCTTCCTGCTGCGTAACTGCTAACATTCACATTAAATAATTTGCTGTAGCTTAACCTTCCTACTTCCATTGGTGGTCATGAGTTTTAGGTGGTCTTCCCTCCTGGAATTTGTTTGGCCTCTCAAATGACTTGACATTTCTGTTAAAAGTTTGATGTTGGGCTGGGGATGTGGCTCAAGCGGTAGCGTGCTCGCCTGGTATGCTTGCAACCTGGGTTCGATCCTCAGCACCACATACCAACAAAGATGTTGTGTCCACCAAGAACTAAAAAATAAATATTAAAAATAAAATTCTCTCTCTAAAAAAAAAAAAATAAAGTGTCTGTGTGTGAAGAAAAAAAAAAAGGAATAAGCTAACACTTGATTATTAAAGTGCCATACTAGTTGTGTGTCTGTGTAGTACATCTATAGGACCAGATCAAGTAATGTATATAAATTATACACAAAGTAACCCTTCATAATCTCTTTTTTTTTTTAAAGAAAGAGTGAGGGGGGGGAGAGAGAGAGAGAGAGAGAGAGAGAGAGAGAGAGAATTTTTAATATTTATTTTTTAGTTCTCGGCGGACACAACATCTTTGTTGGTATGTGGTGCTGAGGATCGAACCCGGGCCGCACGCATGCCAGGCGAGCGCGCTACCGCTTGAGCCACATCCCCAGCCCCCTTCATAATCTCTTAATTTAGCAACATTTAAGGCTGGACCTGAAGCCTTCCTTGACTCAAGGAACTAGTGCTTTAGACTATTACTAAATAATTCACGTTTTGGCAATTAATTATTCAGCCTACACGGATACTGTCAGACTGCTTCACTGTATAAATTTTCTCATTCAAGCCATAAGCTCTTTGACTACAGAAGTCATCATCTGTCTCTAGTACACCAAACAACATAAGCACTAGATAAATATCTGGGAAACTACATTGAGACTAGATGGCTTATAAGGAAAACCTTAAAAAAAAATCTAGAAAGAAAGACCTAACTAAAACTAAATAATAATCAAGACTTATTTAATTTACAACACTACCACTCAATATTACCGCAAAGTGAACTTTTCATACAAATGATTTCCAAAACCCAAATGGCTCCTCATCACCGAGAGCTTGTTCCTGACCCAGTTCTTTCCAAGCTGTCTGCAATTCTCTCCCTACCACCCCACTTCTAGCGCCCCCTCCCCCACTGGTACCAGGCCTCACCTTTCCTTTTTGTTTTTATTTTTAACATGCATTTATTATTCTTTGTTCATCTGCATTTATCAAACAGTGTCAGCAACCTCTGGGGAGAACTCTGAATCCCCATCCTGACCCATCTCAGGGGGCGCCACTTGGAGGCAGACAGACTCCCAGGCTAAACGTGACCCATCCCGACCAGCCGATCTTCCTCAAAGAGACGGAAAGAAAGAAGTCATTCTTACATGAGTACCTGAAGGATGACACATCCTAATTCGCAATCGGTTTCAAAATAAACTCGAGAAAGTTCACACCGCATCAGACCTCGGGCGGCGTTTCGGTCCGGGCCGCGCTGCCTCCGTGGCCGGCACCGCGGGCTCCGGGCGACCCCAACGGCGCGGCCCCGGCCTCTGATCGGCCCGGCCCTGCTCCTCCACGCCGCGATCGGCGTACACCAGCTCCGGCCGCCCTCCGGCCCAGCCGCCCTCCAGGGGCCATCTTCCCGCCTCGGCACCGCGGGCCTGGACCCGGTCCCCACTGCCCTCCGGGGCCCCGAAGGTCTCCCCCGAGTGGAACCCTTTCATCTTTCTCCCCCAACACCTCCCGCCTCAGACCCCTTCACCGCGCGCCCGCGATCGCGCTCACTACGCGGCCCAGGATCCCACCTCTTGCTGCTCCTCGCTCTCCCATCCCCCGGCTTCCCCATTCATCGCAGCCGCCCCGACATCGCCGCTCCCGTCCTCGGCTCCCTTCCACCCCCAGCTCGCCCCAGCGGGACCCCATCGCTCCCCACAACAGGACCCCCTGCCCTCACCTCGCGTCCGTCCTCCAGCAGCAGCCACTCGGCGTTCATCCCCACCCGCCTCAAGCACCAGCTCCGGCCACCGGCGTGGTCTTCAGTGACCAAGGAAGCAGGCTCCCCCATAGCCCACTAGGCCCTGGGTGCCGCTCAGCAACGAGCGAAACTCTGGTCCGGATCCCGGTTCCAGCCGTCTCTCAGTTTCCTCGCCCGCGCCATACCTAAACAACAGACAGAAGCAATCGCTAGGAGATCGGGATCGATGCGAACTCTAGCTCGGGCTGCGGGCCTGGTGCACCCGGAGCCGGGAAGTCGGAGCGCCGCGCCTGCGCGTTGGGTGGCGCAGGTGCTAGTCCCGCTGGGGCCGGTGGCCCACAGCTGTGATTCTGGCGTCACAAATTCCTCACAGCTCACCCCAATCTTACGCACCCGAACTGGAACCGCTCCTTATTTTTCCCCTTTTAAAGAAATTTTTTGCTTTATGACCACATAGTGATGATGATAACCCCATTACTTAAACTGTAGCCCGCGTTCCCTCACCCAGTATCTCAGTTGCCGAATTTCCCATCCTCCTGCCTCTGCCTCCCAAAGAGCTGGGATAAGCCGCCCCGACGCCGCCGCTCCGGTCCCGGGCTCTCTTCCACCCCCAGGTCGCCCCAGCGGGGCCCCAGCGGGACCCCATCGCTCCCCATCACCTCGCGTCCCTCCTCCGCGCCCGCGCCGGGCTTTTTGAAATACCTGGTCAGCCAGTAAGCCCCACCCCAACCCATTATGACCTACTTCTAAAATAACTTGAGATTTGAGATTTGTGGGGGTGGAGAGTGATACTGGAGATTGAACCTGGGGACGCTTTACCACTGAGCCACATCTCTAGCCTTTTATTTATTTATTTATTTATTTAGTTTTTGAGACAGGGTCTTGCTAAATGACTGAGGCTAGCCTTGAATTGGCCATCGTCCTGCTTCAGACACCCTAGTAGCTGAGTTTACAGGTGTGTTCCCACACACACTTGTGATACATTTTAGGTTGCTTATTCTTTTCCTAAATTTCATCCATTTTGCACGATCTCCTTTTGTTAGTGGATTTTAAAATTTTATTCTAGGCAAATCTACATAGACAGGAAGCACAGGTACCAGCAGCTAATTGAGGAAGTGAGTGTTGAATGCAAATGAGCTTGTGAAGGGGGGTAGTAATAGAAATGTTCTAAAAGTATATTGTTATGATTGCACACCTGTTTACTTCCAATGGGTGGATTTTGTGGTATGTAAATTATCCTCTATAAGCCATTAATTTTTTTTAATTGCAATTTCAACTCCTTCCCTTGGATTCTCCAGTATAGGGTCATAGGTGCTACCTGTAGTAACCATTCTGATAGCTCAGTGCTGCCTTTTGCTTTTTCAGTTTTCCAATACCTGCTTAATAATTTAATTATATTAAGTTCTATCAGAAAAAAAGTGTACTAAATGAATAATAAAAAGTATAACAAAGGCTAACATTTATTGAGCACTAACCAGAGATTAGTCCAAACCTCCTGCCAACTTGATTTTAAGAGTTCTTCATGAACTATTTGATGATGGTGGTTACAATTATAACTCCTACTTTGGGGAGGATAAAAGAAGAGACATAGGGAGGTTTAGTAACACATTTGTGACTTTGAAAAGTAAAACAGAAACAAATTTGTTGGTTTGAAAAGTAACAAATGGGGCAACTGGGGATGGAGCTGGGTGGTAGAGCTGAACTAGCATGCCTGAGGTCCTCCCTGGTTTCCATCCTCAGTACCCCAGCACACCTGTGTTAAAAAAAAAAAAAAAAAAAGACAATTAGTCTGTTTCCAAAGCCTAATGTCCTAACTCTGGTTGCAAACCCAGCTTGGATTGATTCATCTTTGTGGCACTATAAGATCAAGAACTGCAGCCCCTATCTTCACAGAGGGCCAGGACAGCCGTCTGGACAAGCTTCCCTAGACTGTGGATGTATGGATGTGTGTCTGTTGGTTTCCCACCTTAGCATTCTGTCCCAGCAACTGCACATAGAGGCCATCTTGACACTTAATCTGTGTTTCCTTAGGCTTCTCTTGCCTGTGACAGATCTCTACACTTTCCTTTTTTTTTTTTTTTTTTTTTTTTTTTTTTTTTTGGTGCTAGGGATTGAACCCAGGGACTTGTGCATCTAAGCAAGCACTCTACCAACTGAGCCATATCCCCAGCCCCAGCCTTCCCCCCACCTTTTTTTTTTTTTCCTAGAGACATGGTCTCACCAAGTTGCTTAAGACCTCGCTTAGTTGCAGAGGCTGTCCTCAAACTTGTGATCCTCCTCTCTCAGCTGTCTCAGCCTCCCACGCTGCTGGGATTACAGGAGTATGTCACTATGCTCAGCCTTCCTTACTTTGGATGACCTTGACAATTTTAAGACTACTGGCAGGTATTTTGAAGAATCCCCTCAGTTGTAACTTACCCCATGTTTTTCTTATAATTAGACCAGGGTTACTTTGAGATGGAAGACCATGAAGGTAAATCACCATACTCATATCTGGGGTACATGCTATCAACACAAATAATCACTATCGATGTTAATCTTGAGCACCTGGCTGGGGTAGTGTTTGTCAGGTTTCTCCACTGTAAACTTACTCTTGTTTCTCCTTTTCTATAATGTATACTTTGGAAAAAGTCAATATTAGAAGCCGAGGCTGAAGAAGTAGGGAGTTAAGTTCCACTTCTTTAAGAGCAAATGGGGCAGGGGGTGGTGTCCCAGCAACTCAGGAAGCTGAGGTAGGAGGATCACAAGTTTGAGGCCAGCTTTGGCAACTTAGTGAGACTCTTTCTCAAGATAAGAAATAAAAAGGGTTGGGGACATAGCTCAGTGGTTCAATCCCCTGGGTTCAATCCCCAGTACTGAAAAGAGAGAAAGAGAGTGGGATTCTCTATAAAGAAGGTTTGTCACTCCTCTTGTTTATTTGTTTGTTCCATAATTTATTAATATCATTATAGACCTATGGGATATTTATTTTATACTCTGGGTTATAGTCCAATACTGCTTTATTACTTTATTACTCAAATCCTTTTTTGCTTTGGCCACTGAATGCTCCTCCAGTGGGCTGTGATGGCATACTCCCATCATTGTATTTTATTGAGCACCTCTTGTCACAAAGTGATCCAGACCTAAAATTAACCAATTCTCCAAAGCGCCTTTGTTCCTTGGTTAAGAAACCAAGATCTGGGCACTAGATGTGATTGTTGCTGCTGGGATGTCATTGCTTCTAGACCCTCTTACCTGTTGGAGCACGTAAATATACAGGTGAACTAGCCCCTCTATACCCACATTTATGAATGCTTACACATATTTATGTGCATACGTTCTATACGTATGTATTTAATTATTACTTGATCTCCAGAGGGATCAATTCCCAGGATTCTCTGTGGTATCAAAACTGGAGCATACTGAAGACCCTTACTTAACATAGTATTTGTATATAACATGTACACATCCTCCTGAATACTTTAAATCACCCCTATATTACTTACAGTACCGAATACAGTGTAAATGTTATACAAATAGTTACTTTTAAATCTCTATTGTTTGGGGAATGATAATTTTTTTAAAAAAGTCTGTACATATTCAGAATAGGTACATTTTTTCCAAAGTGTTTTCAATTCTTGGTTGGTTGGATCAGCAGATGCAGAACCCTTGAATATAGATGGCCAACTGTATACACGTCTCCAAGCTAAACATGACCCCATACTGATGTTTTAAAACTCATGATCTAAGTAACTTCAGAAATAAGCAAAGTCTGAAGGATTAAAGGCAAAAGACTTGCATACTGCACTGTAGTTGAAAAAGTTGTTTCAATAGGTGTACACATGCACAATGTTATGTATCCACCAGTATACTATCAATAGAGAATAATTTCATCACACTAAAAAAAAAAATTCTCCAGTGGCACTTGCCTGTAATCTCAGCAACTTGGGAGACTGCGGCAGGAGGATGGCAAATTCAAGACCAGCCACAGCAATTTAGTGAGACCCTGTCTTAAAATAAAAAATAAAAGGGCTGGCAGTACTGGGGTTGCACACCTAGCATGTGTGAGGCACTGGGTTCGATCCTCAGTACCACATAAAAAATAAACAAAATAAAGGTATTGTGTCCATCAAAAACTTAAAAAATTAAAAAATAAAAAGGGGGGTGGTGCTAGAGGGCCAGGACTGTAGCTCAGTGGTACAGTGCTTGCCTAGCACATGTGAGTCACTTGGTTCTATCTTTAGCACCACATAAACATAAATAAAATAAAGGCATTCTGTCCATCTACAACTATAAAAAATTTTTTTTAAAGGGCTAGAGATGTAGATTGGTGGTAAAGCCCCTCTGGGTTCAGTCTCCAGCACAAAAATAAATAAATAAATAAATAAATAAATAAATAAATAAATAAATAAATAAATTCTCCAGCTGGGCATATAATCCCAGCTACTCAGGAGGCTGAGGCAGAAGGATTGCAAGTTTGAGGTCAGTCTGAGCAATTTAGGAAGAGCTTGTCTCAAAATAATTTTTTTTGGGGGGGTACTGGGGGTTGAACCCTCTGAGCCACATCCCCAGTCCTATTTTTGATATTTTATTTAGAGACAGGGTCTCACTGAGTTGTTTAGTGCCTCACTTTTTGCTTAGGCTGGCATTGCACTCATGATTCTCCTGTCTCAGCCACCAGAGCTGCTGGGATTACAGACATGCGCCACCATGCCTGGCTCAAAATAAGTTGTAAAAGGACTGAGAGTATATCTTATTGGCAAAGTACTTGCCTAACATGAACAGGGCATTGGTTTCAATCTTCAGTACCATAAAAAAAAGGATGTTTAATTAGGTTTTATCCTATCCTTTAAAAAAATGTCCATTTTGTGTACACACAATGGCACATTCCTGTGATCAATGCCAGCTACTCAGGAGGCTGAGGCAGGAGGATCACAAGTTTGAGGCCAGCCTTGACAACTTAGATCCTGTTTCAAAAAAAATTAATAAAATAGAGCTGGGAGCCAGTTGTGGTGGCACATGCCTATAATCCCATTGGCTTAGGAGGCTGAGGTGGGAATATTACAAGTTCAAAGTCAGCCTCACCAACAGTGAGGCACTCAGGCATTCAGTGAGACCATGTATCTAAATAAAAAAAAATAGGGCTGGGGATGCGGCTCAGTGGTTGAGTGCCCCTGAGTTCAATTCCCGGTACTTAAAAAAAGAGAGAGAGAGTAGAGAGAGAGAGAGAGAGAGAGAGAGAGAGAGAGAGAGAGAGAGAGTGTTAGTTCAATGAAAGAGCACTCCTGGGTTCAACCCCAAGT